ATTAAAACAAACAAACAAACAAAACCCAAAGATATGGAATTGAGAAGTTGTCACTCATCACAGATTCCACATAGTAAGTAAAGCTTCACGGTCATTTAAAAGACTGTCCTTTGAGGAAACTACCCCTAGATCTACTTAAGGAGGAATTGCACAGGTTTAACCACACAGGTATATTCAGAAGCTTCTGCAACATGGTTGCAAAATTTTGCATTGTCCACATGGCACCCATTTTACAGGCATGTGAAATGCAAGAGTCATAAAGTCTAGCACTGAGACTCCAGAGAAAAGCCTGTGAGTCGAGGTTATGCATAGTAGAGCTGGATTTCCTGTGGGGCTCTCCGGTACCTGGAGGTTTCTCTCCTGGCTACCAGTTCCCAAATAACCACTCAAAGGCATAATATTACTTATAAATGTTTGACTGATGGCTCAGGCTTATTACTAACTAGCTCTTACATCTTCAATTAACCCATTTTTATTAATCTACATATTGCCATGTAGTTGTGGCTTTACCTCATTTTCTACATGTCTTGCATCCTTTAGTGTCTCTCAGACTGCATGCTTCTAATTCTCTATCTCTGCTTGGTTTTCCATCTGGCTCTATCCTGCCTTGCCATAGGCCAAAGCAGCTTTATTTATCAACTAATGAGAACAACACATATTCACAGAGTACAGAAATACTTGCCACAGCAATCTCCTGATGAAGGTAAAACATAAAGCCATAAAGGTGAAATCCAAATTTCAAAAGGAACCACCAGGATGTTAGAGACACCAGGAATAATAATCTGCCAAAGAAAGTCCTAGCAGTAAATGGAGACATCTCAAGAGAGAGACGTCATTTTGTCTGGAAATAGTAAGAACAATGGAGTGAGGATGCCACAATTTTTTTTGGAGTTAAGATGGATATCACCATGTTCCCCAAATACTGGACATAAAGCTACTAAATTTAATGTTTGCATTGTAGAACTTTGATCTTACTTTGCTTCCAGCCTTCATTTGTGTTCTTCCATTTCTCCCTTGTGGAACAAGAATATATATATATATATATATATATATATGTATATATATTGTATGATCTTATATTTAAAATGTGAAACTTTCATTTACTTTATAGGAGATTACAGTAAAGTATTTACCTTGAGTCTCAAAAGAGAGTTTGAACACTGGAATTTTCTTTTCTTTTTTTGGGGGGGGGGGTTGGTGGGGATTTGTATCTGCCTGTGGCAGGTGTTTGTACCCAGTGCTGGCTGTTCAAGTGCTCAGATGCCTCTTAAAAGAGCTATGCCTCTGTATGCTGAGCCTAAGAAAGATAGCAGTTGTCCGGAAGCCGGGCCAGGAAACACTGGAATTTCAACACTGTTGAAATGGTAAGATGTTGTGACTCTTTGAGTTAGGATAAATGTATTTCATGTTAGAAGTTGTCCACAAACAAGTGGGAATAGCAGTAGAATGTTATCATTTGTATATGAAATATTCTCTAAACCATCACACTCTTGTTTTGAATATTTTGTCTCTAGGTGATGGTGTTATCTTGAGAGGTTCTGGAATCTTCAGAGATGAGACTCAGAAAAAGAAATTATACCACTGGGACTCCTGTGGGTATATTATTCCTATCCATTTCCAGGTTCACCGTGATGTGAAAAGTTCGGCCACAAGCACCTGCAGCCATCATAAACTAAATTGTGTTTTTGTCTTTCTGGCCATGATGGTTTAAAAAAAACCCTTTGAAACTGTGAGCCAAAATAAATCATTTACCTAAAAAATAAGAACCTAAAAGACAATATAATTTCCCCTTTGATGGTTTGATGAAGTATATTGCACATATAAGGAAGACAAAGACATGAATTTGGGGAGGAAATGTGGCACGAGGTTATGGAGGAAGTTGGAGAGAAGCAGAGAGGTGTATATGATCATCTTTCATTATATACATATGAGAAATTCCCAAGAACAGGGGAAATTATGCAAAAAGAAATAATAAGGAACAATTTTAAAGATTGGAAAAGGGATTTTTTTCTTCTCCCCTCTCTGTCTCTTCCATTCTTTTTTCTTGTCTCTCAAATTTCTTCCCTTTCTTTCCTTCCATAAATAAAGCACTTACTGCCTGTAGTAACTATGTATTTGCGGTATTTGGAGAGCAGTCTGGGTAGAAATAATAACAGCTTCTGGGTCAACTATATATATGACAGTACATCAATGTTAATAGGCATGGCTAGAAGGCAGTAACAAAGGATAAATTATGGTTGGTGCTCTCCCTTTGAAAAGCCATGAAATTTTAAACATATTTAAGTGCTCATTAAATATAAAAATTATAAAACATAGTACTTAAAATATGGACTAAAGTCTTTCGGAGAATTCATTTTATTGAAATATTTTGTATTTACCTACAAGGTAGATGGAGCCCAACTGATCTTATGTAATGAGGAAACCAAAATCTTGACAGTGTTTCTGCTTAAATTTAGGATTTATAATATGAGGGGAAAATCATATAGCAATATAAGTTGGACATAAAATGCACACAATTAGAAGCTAGGAGAGAAGGTAAACTGAGTGATTCCTTTTCTTTTTATGATTCTGACGATCCCTTTCTGAGTAGGTAGAATTGGAGGATTAGCCTACTTTGGTACAAGTAAAGTAGGCAAACAATGGAGTCTTCCCGGGACAAGAAGAGAGGGCACAGAAGGACCAGCGTGAGTATGAGTATCTTAAGAATCTGTGGAAAGCAGGTAGGATAGTAGCATGGAGTAAAAAGACTAAGACCCATGTTTACTTTCTGTTTGTCATCTATACTCACAGTAAAGCTTACTTTGAAAAGACACTGTAGGTTTTTTAATTATTATATTAGATATGTCACATCTCTATTCATAGAATCTGTCTCTATTTTAAAAGAGAAAGAATAAAATTCCTCTCTGAGTCAGCTTATAGCACAATGCCCAACTCTGTAGATGATCTTCATGATGATCAATATCACGCAGTCATGCCACTTTAATCTTAGGTTCACATGCCTTGGAGTCTATGTATTAGAATACAAGGTGGTTATAGAGGTTCTGGTGTCTTTCACCAACTGTTCCAAAGGCCTTTGCATTAGAATAGCTACAGCTTTGTGATAAAAATTGAGCACCTGGGATTGAAATGTATCTGCCATTCATTAGCTGGAAGAACATGAGCAAATCACTTAAACTCTTTGCTTCACAGTGTTCTCATTTGAAATGAGAGGAATAGATAGCAATAGGGCAAACTGAAAGCAACCATCATCAGTATTAATAGAGGCATAGCACTTAGAATACTAAGTGGATAAAGTACCTACCATACAAGGGTAACTTTACTATTGTTATTATTATCTCTAATAAAAATAAATGTATACCTAACCATTTCATAAAATCAGAGGCTCTGGTTTGTTTATTTATTTTTATTTTATTCCTATGGGTGTTTTTTTTTCTGCATGTGTATCTGTGCACCACATACTTACAGAAGTCTCAGAGGCTAGAAGAGGGCATTGGATCCTCTGGAACTAGAGTCACAGATTACTATCAGCCACCATATTGGTGCTATAAACCTACTTCTAAGCTCTTATACCTGCTTAGTCATGTCTCCAGGCCCAACAATTTAGCTTTAAAGGGATTTCAAATGAGACCTTCTAGCACAGCCGCTCCTCTAATTTTATAGCAAAAAGTCTGGCAATAAGCATGTTGAATTGCTGTGTGAATAGGTTTTCAACATGTTAAATAATTGAGAGAGAGGCAGGTAGTTATTGTGCTACATGGAGGTATGATGAGTACTCTATGTTGACAGGAGAGATGGTTTCACCCCTTTTGCTGTGCCCTGACAGCCCCTATTTGGGTAGACACAAATCTACATTTTCCTAAAAGCAAGGCTACATGGGCTGAGTCCTGACAAGAACACAGAAGAAGCTGGCTGCACTGATGAAGAATGACAATCTTAAAAGGTCCAGGAAGTTTCTTTAGGTACTATTGCCACACAGGGATGCTCATCTTTGCATTTCACACGCTGAAAGTATAGGCCTACACCATGCTCACGAGACATTTACATGGGCAATAGGGATCTGAACTCCGGTCCTCAGGTTTTCTCTGAAAGGACTTTGCTGATGAGCCATCTCCTCGGTTTAATGACCCTTTTTAATAATTTAACCAGAGATAGTCTTTGCTCACATATCCTGTTTACTCAGTTAATATTATTTCCTTCTCTGATCTCTGTGGGAGTTGAAGACTAGGTAGTTACAGTTTTCCTTGTTTACCAGATTCAGAAAAGAAACTCTCTTAACAAATGTAAATTATATAAGGTTTTATTGCATAAAACCCCCTAAATGACAAAAGCCATAGTGTCAGACATCACTGGGTTTCCACTAATGTTTTCCACTCATTTCTGAATTCTTCCAAGTCAGAGGCTGCAACTGGCTTCATCAGGAACAAAATAAAGGCCATTGAAATAGCAGCGACTTCCAAGCTGTTTGCTAAATTTATCTGTTCAATACTTTCTACTCAAATTAAAACCATGGGCTATAATTATGGAATATGAGAAGAGAACAGGAGCTTAAAGGTCATCTAATCTAACTTCTCCATTTTTTTATTGAAAGGGTGGGGGCCTAGACATATGCTGTGATTTGCTTGAGGCCACAGAGCTAATTAACGGTGGAACTTGAACTAAGATCTTCTCAGCACTGGCACAGTGCTAACATAATCAGATCTTGAAGCACAGATATAGCTGATATTATTGGTCGTGGTTTACTGTTGATAGCCATTCATCGATGTGGTGTGAAATAGCAAAGATGTCTGATTTGGAAACTGCTACAAAGAAATGACATGATGTTATACCCAGGCCCTGCCCTCAGCTCTGAAAATTTCCTGCTTTATGTCCATCAATAATGAATGACCCATCCCTGTAATGCTAAGAGGGAGCTTACGCTGCACTTTTGAGCAGCCGGTTAGTAATGTACAGTGGATAGAGCCTTTCTTTTAAATCCCAGGGCAGCAGGCCCTTCAAGGCTAGCATTGCAATTTCAATTAGCTGCTGAGTGAAAGCTTGGCATGTGTATTAGTGAGCAGGGACACAATTAGCTTATTCTTCCTTTCCCAATTGTGTTGAGAGGATCCAAAAGGTTGGTGGGGGATAAGACCAGCCAGGCATCACTGGATACTGAAGAAGGGAGTTGTTCAAACCTGGACGTCTTGCTCGGGCTGGGATTACAGAGATTTATTACAAAGCAGTGTGTGTGTGGCTTGGTGAAGTGTGCCTCAGGAACACTCCGGATACCACTTGGGGTTTGTCCTTTCGAGTGCTTCACGGCTCTGTCTTGTTCTCATCATTAACATGGAGCCCAACAGCCCCAAAAAGATACAATTTGCTGTGCCTTTATTCCAGAGTCAGATTGCTCCAGAGGCAGCAGAGCAGGTAAGGGGGAGTGGATGGGGAGCAATTCCTGGATATTGGGCAATAAGGGCAATTATTCTGTTCTTACTAGGTGAAAGATTCTCTGCTTTCTGAATTTGCCTAAATCTGTGTCTTTCAGGATGAGAAATTGCATTGGGAAACAATTAACTAAGATTTTAGTAGCACTTCATTTATATAAAATTAATATCAGTGTAGTAGGCATTCTGATCTGAAGCAATATATGCTGGCCTTAGCTTCTTAAAATGACAGTTTCAACAGTTAGAGAAACTTTGAAAACATTACCAAAAAATTATCAGCTTTTTATTTTGTTATTTATAAATAAAAAGAAATGTAAAAATTAAAGTAATAAATCTTGGACTAATTTACTATTATAGGTGTCATATTTTTATGTTTTTATTGCATACCCCAGACTACATATGAGCAATGGACATGAAAAATGATGTACTTTTCCTAGTATTCTTTTCTATGTTGGCTATTGGTTTATAACTGTATCATATCCATATTTGCTTAGACTCTGGGTACAATGGACCCACTTAAAAGATGTTCTGTGGCATAAAAACAAATATGGAGTATTTTGCGAATATCAAAGAAAATTATGGAAACTCCAATCTAACTCATTAATTACTTAAAACCCAAAAGACTCCTGAATCCTGTTCCAAATAGTTGGTAAGAAGCCTTAAAATAAGTATTGATGCTGGGAGTCTTACTTTATATTATGCATTGACAGTAGATCCACCCAGATTTGGACCAGATGAATATAACCTTGACCAGATCTGTTTACTGAACTGAGCATTGTTTCTGTCTTGAATAACATCATTTGTACACTTTATCCCTTATCCTATTGACAAGTGTTCTTGGAATTAACTGTGAATTGATATACTGGATGACTAAAGGCTGTCTGAAGCATGAGAGTCTAGTCATAACATGGTCCTGTAATTCCTATAACAAGGGGCTGAATCCACCATATCTTAATTTCAATTAAGTATATATTCTCTCTTTTTTCTTCTACAATTTTGAGTAACTTTTACTTATTTATACACAATTTCCCACACATACATAATATATCCTAATCATATCTACCACAGCTCTCCCTCCCATTTGTTGACACCCACAAATATGCCCTCTCGCTTTCATGTTCTCTCCCTTTTATTCTTTCTAATGCACTAAGTCTGATTAAGATTGCCTGAAGGAACTAAAATACACACTCTTCTAAGATCTTGATTTTTGGTTGACCTGCTGATTTGGTCTGAATATTAGAAAGTAAAAATTTAGTCATACTAATTGAAATCTAAAACTTTCATTGCCAAATTAATTATAGTACGTAGTAGAAATCTGAGGCTTCTGAGTCCCTTTTGCCTCATTTAGATAAGAGTGAGGGACCATGATATCATTGCCAATGTCATGGAGTTTTACCATAGTCGCTTAAATAAGAAGGTCATCTTTGTACTTTACAGCAGATTACTTTCACTTTCATAGGTTGATGATACAATTATTATTATTAATCCTTTGAAAATGTAACTTTGTGGTCAAAGAAGGTGTTACTAATACCTGGCAGTTCTGGCTAGCTTCTAGTGCTTTAAAATATACAGTGAGCATACACTATGTTCCTTCTAGAAGTTTGTTCATGTGCGTTGGGGAAAGAGGAGGGTGGGAAGCTTTTCAAGCTGTAGAATCATTGAAGGGCAGTGTCTGATTCTCACCCTGACATCATCTGTGCCTTTGCTGTTCACAGATAAGGAAAAGAAGACCTACACCAGCATCCCTTGTGATTCTCAATGAGCATAATCCCCCAGGTAAGCAGACATGATGTCTTTCCTATTGATGAGATGGAGCAGAACTGTCTAAAGAAGAGCAAACAGTGTGACATTGACGATAAGTTCCAGCTTAGGGTTCCAGTTAGCTAAAAGGGGTCATAAACAAAATCAGAAATAAATATCATAAGAGCTGTCTCAATCAATCAGTAGCCAACCTTTCTGCTAGGATGACACACTGGTAATAACAACGTACAACATGTTTTATCAGCATTTATTGCTGTGTGTTTTTATGGAATCTGATCCAGACCTTATTGATGAAGTTGGTAAAAAGTTCCTTAATTAGGTTTCAAGGTTCAAGTTGCAGGCCTAGAGATGATTATAATTTTGCAGTGTGTGATATTATTTATGGATGGGAAGGGCCACATGCCCAACATTTACTGCAGCCTTGCTGCTGATGTCATCTCTGAATGATGCAATTGACAAGGAACCAGATCAATTTTCAGCACTGCCCATTTGAGAGTCATTTTGAATGCTTGCATCAATTTATCGAGGTCTTAGTTTCCATTTCCTGTAAAAAGTAAAACTGCATTATTAGTCTTGATAAAGAGCTATGATCTGTAATACATAAACAGTAAGCTTACTTACTGAGTGCAGTGATTTTCATCTTACATTTAATGGCATCTCCTGGAAATATAAGAGGAAAGGTCATTAATTTGTAACCCAGCAGATCACAGTGGGTTTTTTGTTGCTATTGTTGTTCATACACATGGCAAATAAATAAAGCAAAGAAAGTTACATTCTTCATTATAGATAGATAATCCATGACTTGTTTTATCTGGGAGTGATAATCCTAGCTCTTAGGAGGTTAAGATAGGATTGCTTCGAGTTCCAGCTGTCCTGAACTTATAAGATGTACCTGGACAACCTAGGTTACTTTGTTTACAGTACAAAAAGTTGCCTTTAATACTAGAACAAAACTATTTTCTTTTTTTAGCAAAACCAAAAGACTGTTCAATTTATTTAATTATACTTTTTCTCAATATATTTTTTATTTAAATTAGAAATATGCTTGCTTCACATGTCGATCCCAGCTCCCTCTCCCACCCCTCCTCCCTTACCCCTCTACCAGCTCCCTCCAACCCCCCCCAATCCCCACATCATTCCCCAAGGAGGATGAGGCCCTCCATGGGGGATCTCCAGAGTCTGTCACTTCATCTGGGGCAGGGCCTAGGCCCTCCCCCATTTGTCCAGGCTGAGAGATGTTCCCTCCATATGGAATGGGCTCCCAAAGTTCATTCGTATGCCATGGTCAACACCGATCTACTACCCAAGGCCCCAGATATTTCTGACACTACATTCATGGAGTCTGGATCAGTCCCCAAGAGCCCAGAGATTGCCGAGGCCTCCTCACTGACACCTCATTCAGGGGGTCTGGATCAGTCCCATGCTGGCTTCTCAGCCACCAGTCTGGGGTCCAAGAGCTCCCCATTGTCAGGTCCGATATCTCTGTGGGTTTTACCAGCACCTTCTTGACCCCTTGGCTCACCAGTTCTCCCTCTCTGTCACTGGATTCCAGGGGTTCAGTTCAGTGTTTAGCTGACAAAACTGTTTTCAAAGTAATGTTAGTGACTGGCAATCATGATTAAATAATAGGCGTAGTTTCCTGTTACTATGATTATTTGCTATTTTATGTATTAGCACAAATAGTAAATTATGAAAGAGTATTTAAAAGAATAGCTTAATTTTAGATTTAAGTATATATATATATATACCTTCTTTGTACTGACATACATCAGAATGGAAGAGTAGAACCGGATGATATTTTAACATATTAGTCCAGTTGTTTCATTTGTTTACTACTTTGCATGTGATGTTCTAAACACACAGAAAAGGTAGACACCAAATTTCAGTTACCATGGCAAGAAACTATACTCTCAATTCTTCACTAATAAATAAGCAAACAAATTACCCCCAGCAGAAGTTCTATGAAGCAGGAACACAACTATTAAAGTTATATTACCCTTTGACGTTGATCAGCAAATAATTTAACTCAAACTTATAGGAATAAGAAAAGTTAACAGCAAATGTTGTGTCTTATTGCAGAAAAGGAAGAATCAAAGTACTTGCGTTCAGAAATATCTCTGAACAGTCAGGTGACAGTAACAAGATACCAGAAGCATGAGGTCTGGGTTTGGGTAATAATCAAAGACAAATGTCACCTTCTCCCTGTCTTCTCAGGCCTGTAACTTGAGTCACTTTTGAAGAAACTGCTTCTCTTTCTGTATGTTCAGCTCCTCTTCTATTTGAACTTATCAGTTTCTCTGAAGTTGTATCTTAGAGTATCATTATTGCTCTTATAGTAAATGCAGTTAGCTTTTACTCTTTGTAATCTGTGGTCAACTGGTGTGGTCTTTACAGCTTTATCTGGACTCACACATACATCATCTTAATGCAGCAATAAATAACAGCTGCCTTTTGTAATTTATTCCATCTCGTACATGGATTTTATTGAACATCGTCTGTCTTTAAACAGACATAAGCCTGTGTATTTGGCCATGAGAATGTTATGGTCTGGATGTTAAATGTCCTCCAAAGGCACAGCATACTTGATTTTTGACCATTAGTGGAAGTAGGCACTCCTGGAAGGAAGCGGGGATACAAGGGTAATGTCCAACTGTCAGGAGACAAGTCCTTACTGGGATGCCTTCCTCTACTAGAGGAACAAAATAAGAGGGCTGGGTGGTCACCGTAAAGCCATCGAGGAAAGTGAGTGTCTCCTCACAGCAACAGAAAACTGATTAATCCACAGACTTAGAACTCAAGAGTTAGAAAGAGAAAACTGTTCAGAAAATGCTTCCAGTCTTGTCCAGCATTGTTAAAGAAGGATGTAAATCATCTCAGCTCCCTGAGACTGGCTCCACTTTACGCACCTCAGGGGAAAACACATAATTATATCTGGATTTCAGGTCCAAGTCTAATAATTTTAGAGACAAAAAAATAGTTTCTTATGCCAAAGTTGAATATAAATTCTCTGACAAGGAATCTTCACTTATTCTCTTCAATTAAAGTTGTTTTTTCACCTATTTAGACACATAAAACAATTATTTACTGTTATTTTCTACATCAAATATCCATTTCCCAGAATCACTCAGGGCTTTAGTGAAGTTTTCCAAATTCTCCTCAATTTCTCTTCATTTTGAGCCCAGAGCTGGACACAGTCTTCCGGTAAAAAGCCAGTCTAAGCCAGGCTTTGTGGATATTAATGTTTGTGGCATCCATTCTTTTCCACTTACTGTTAATCAGAGGCTGTATGGCTACAATTATATTTAATGGACCCAAGGCCTATTAAACATGATTGAACTACAAGAAGCAAAGTAAAGATTTAGGTAAGTACCCAAGATTCTAAAAGCTTGTTATACATCTAAAATGGTGACAGGAAATACAACATAAAATGATTTGGAAGGATATTTATTGAATTTACTGCCAAACCAAATTTGGGAAAAGTTGGCTTTCTCTTGACTATTTTACCCCCTCAGTAATCTTAGGAATAGGAATTAAAATGAAAAGATATTATCATACATCTTGGGTTCCTAAAATTATTTAATATGGAACTTATGAGCTATAGTATTCATGAACATGCTATCTCCTTTCAGACTTGATAGTAAGTTGAAAGACCTGAGAGAATAGGGATTCCTAACATATGTGACTCTGCAAACTGAAAAGAAAGCCAGTGGCCCTCTGTGTATCATAGAAGAAGACTTGTAAACAAGACATATATTTTATGACTCTGAAACTAAGTCATGTAATGAGATGTTGAAAGATCCATATGTAGAATCCTAGCTAGAAAACATGCTGTCATTCAAACACAAAGGACTCCCAGGAATTTTGGATGATTTTAATGAATCTCCTTTTTCAGAATTAATGAGAAGCTTTGCAGTGTCATCAAGTCAAAGCGCATAGTTATTTCCCGTATATGAACCTCTTAGTGACAATCCTGTTGTTTTTCAAACTGAATAACTGTAGTCAAAAGAACACCATGAATGGAAGCTCCAGGGAGACAATGAGGATTTTCCTGGGAATTTATATTTTTGAGTAAGATGTCATATGAGAATCAGAGGTGACAGTTGTCTCTAAGTACCTCGTACCTGCTGTGTTCAAATAAAGGTTATGCTGGTTCATAGCTTTCATTCTAAATTTTTGTACCTTCTTTGGCAATGTGATTTTATTCTCATCCACAATCTCCACTAATTGCTCAGAAATTATCTGGCCTTAGCACAATTGACTACAGTGAAAATCCCAAACCCAGTGTTTGAAGACTATTTAGGAGTTATCTGGGGCTGGAGAGATGGCTCAGCCATTAAAGGCTAGGCTCACAACCAAAAATATAAGAGTTATCTGATACTAATTCCTAACGAAATGTCAGAGATGTCCTTGTTTTTTCCTTTTCCTTCAGCATTTATTTTTATGCACTATTGCATGTCAAACCATGTGGAAAGATTTAAAGACAAATGATGTAAGTAGATTTTAACGATCATCCACCCTGCAATTGATTGACTTATTTTTTCATCATTATTCATCCTGAATAGCCAAATTGTACACTCAAATGGAAAGGTTGAATCAGAGGCAAATTCTGACTCTCAGTAACGCCAAGGTGTCCTATAATGTAAGTAATAGTAATAATAGTAAGTAAAAATGTAAGTAATGTAATTCAGATGAAGTAATATAATATTCAAATTAGAAAAATAGAATGAAAGGGTAAATAACAAACAGAAATGTTTCAAATTTATTTTGATAAGATGATAGTTTTTATTGATTTTGAAGAAATAGCACACATTCACCTTTTACATGGAGTTTAAAATACAATTAGGGAAATATGGTAGAGTGACTATTGGTGAACTGATAGCTCTTTTTTGGTGTATGCTTTTCTGCTTGTGGCTTGAAGAAGATGGAAACACCTGTGAAGGATACTACATGTCACAGATATGCCAAGCTTTGAAGTGGACCTGGCTTGAATTCCAGTTTTGTCAGCAGCTAGTGAGCCATTGGGTGTATACTTCATCTCTTTGGGCTTAGTTTTTTCCTAAACAGAATACTGAAGCAGAGTGACTACTAACATGTATATCCTGAGGATTTCCAATGCTCCATCACTGTCGCTGCTGAGAAAGCTTATGTTCTCATATTCATTATTAAAGAATAACTTCCGGGCAGTGGTGGCGCATGCTCTTAATCCCAGTATTTGGGAGACAGAGGCAGGTGGATTGTTGTGAGTTCGAGGCCAGCCTGGTCTACAGAGTGAGTTCCAGGACAGCCTCTAAAACAATACAGAGAAACCCTGTTTCGGAAAAACAAAACAAAACAAAAGAATAACTGCTGTTTTTGAATCCTCTTAGGCAGTCATAAATAGTATCCAAAGGATAAGGCTTCCTCTGGAAAAAAATTCTAATGCCTCAAAATCTATTAGAAGTGTACACAGTTGTAGAATTGTTATATACACTATATTTGCAGCAGTAGTGATTCAACTGTACATGTCTTTGTTGGCAAATACAAGCTTCATAGACTAGAACTTGAGTTCTTAACTGTTTTAAAAATAAGCTTTCTAATGTTGTCTAAAACAATATTAAGATGATTAACAGCAATAGTCATATGTCTAGCAAACTTCTATTTGACCATAAATGAAATATATATTTAATATTATGAAGAAAGAGAGTCAAGAGCATATATATATATATATATATATATATATATATATATATATATATATGCTTTTT